CTTGTGCAGGGTGACTGGTCTTGTCTCCGCCCCCCCCTATAATAGAGACCGGTCACTGCTGCTGTGCCGCCCCAATGGGGCATAGAATATGTTATTACATTAATGTTAGTAGATAGTTTTCCCTATACCATTTTCCTATGGCCATTCTATAGTAAGTTATATGCTGCCATCTAGTGGCCTTTTGTGATATTGCACCTGTTTTTCTTGTATTCCTTTCATGTGATGACACATTTCCTCTGTATGTAAGCCCCACCCTTCTTCTTGGTCAGTATTTCCTGTGTCATGGCCACAGCTAACAGGCCACATGTAATAAGGACACATGTACTCTGAATAGTACCGTAGGAAAGGCATCATCTTTTGACCGCATAATACTGAAAACCATCCATCTGCTGTATCCTGTTGTCTGATGTGCAGAATAAAGCAACCTTTGTGGATGAAAGGGTATTAGTGAGTTCAGCTATCTGACAATGAACGTCCTCAGTGATTGAATCTACTTATACAGGCCAGGCATAGAGGTCTCACAAGGGATACATCGCTATCACAACAATCAGAGTCAGAATAGCTGCTCTCCTTGTGCAGGGTGTGTGGTCTTGTCTCCGCCCCCTCCTGTAATAAAGACCGCTCACTCTCAATGTGCACGGTGACTGGTTTTGTCTCTGCCCCCTCCTGTAAGAACAGTCACTGCTGCTCTCTCTCCTTGTGCAGAGTGACTGGTTTCGTCTCTGCCCCCTCCTGTAAGACCGGTCACTGCTGCTCTCTCCTTGTGCAGGATGACTGGACAGGTCTCCACCTCTCCTGTAACCAGTCACTGCTGCTCTCTCTTTCTGTAGGTTGACTGGACTTGTCTCCGCCCCCTTCCTGTAATAGAGACCGGTCACTGCTTCTCTCTCCTTGTGCAGGGTGACTGGTCTCATCTCCGCCCCCTCCTGTATTAAAGACCGCTCACTGCTGCTCTCCACCGCCTCCTGTAGCGTTTCTGCAGGCAGGCTGTAGTGGGTGGAGCCTGCCGAGTCCCTCCCACGGCTCAGCTGATGCTATGTGCAGCTCAGTGATGTCACGGGCTACAAAGGCATTTGGTGCACACACACGATTTCTATCCTTTGTGGCTCCAGAATCTGCCCGGAGTCCAGTTTTAAAGAATGGTCACTACTGACACAACCAGGTTTCAGCTTTCATTCTGATTGGCCACTTTGGGCGGATTTCCTACTTCCGTGCACCCGCTACCGAAATTTCATTGTTTAAAAAGGAGAACTATGGGGTCCGGGCTTTTCCCATAGTCCTCCTTAGGGTAACGGGAGGACACAAACTAGCGTCCTCCCGTCACCCAAAGCTCAGTATATAGAGAGCTGCTACTCGCGGTATACTGAGACGCCGCAGCTGATCCCGACATCGAGATCCACCCAGCTGCGTGAGTGACAGCTGGCTATGCCTATCTAGATGCAGCTGTATCCGCCCCCTCCCCCGTCCTTTAAAGTGACATTAAGGCCCCATTCACACCTATGCGTATTGTAATATGCGTGTCTGTCGCGCGACCGTCACGCGTTTTTTTACCGCGATTTTCGCGCGATTCCAAAGCTACTTGGCAGTATTGGAATATAACATGGGTGCAAAAATGGAAAAAAGGGCCTCAGTCATGAAGGGGTTAATGTCACTTTAAATCTCAAAAAGCAAAAAAAAAAAAAAAGTAACAGACGAGACATTTCCAGAATTGCGCAGAAAATAAATCTGCGCTGCCGTCGGCCAGACACACACAAAGCAGCAGCACGAGGCGCGGTGTGAAATAGATGGAACTTTATTCTAATAGCTTTAATTACAGTGCTTGTTCGTCCAAATGAAAACAAGTTTACAAAAAACAGTTGATTACGATTCGTTTACTGAAAGCAATAAAGATTCCACATCACTAAATGAACCGGCTCGCACAGGTCCCGACGTCTCCACCCAGTTCCAGCGTTTCAGTGTCGATCAGAAGTAAAAAGGAGTTAAAAAAACAAAACAAAAAAAGTTATCAAATGGCAAATCTGAGCCTTGCAGCACGAGGCGTGCCACCGGGAATGATTCCGGACAGGAGAGAAGGGTGGTCTGCGTTCTTCTATGGAATGACTGCACGGGGGGAGGGGAATCGGTTACCGCTGGGTGGAAGTCAAGAACGGATCAGGGACGCGGGTAAGTCGCCCCGCGACATTCACACTGTGGGACAAAGGATTCTGGGAACACAGCCATCCCCCGCTAAAGCTTTAGGCCGTCGCCAAGAGCATAGGACGATGCAACCAGCTGTGGTTCAGGTTTTCACCGGCAGTCACATGGGCGCCAATGGCTGTCCTCCTAAGTCTGCATTGTGAAGCCTCAACCGGGAGGCCGCAAAACTCAACAGCACCAAACACTGAAGAAAAGCCTTGCATGGGTCAAGTGCCCGTCCAGCCGAACCTTTTCCCCCCCCTTCAGCATTGGGTAAAGTAAAGGTGGTGCAGGTTGAGGAGGATCCCCGTCACCATTTTACTACTCTCTGGGAAAGAAAGTTCCTCTCACTTGACAACAGTTTCATGAGATAGAAGCTAAAGAATATCAATAGATTAGGTGACAACTAGAACCAGTGTCGGCTTTGACTTCCTGTCTGCGGAAACCGTCACAGTGACCGTGAGGGAGCAGTAAACATAACCCCTCTGAAATGGTGACATCACTGGATCCTCGGTGCGCCTACGTCACCAACTTGTGGATCGCTTTCAAGCAGTAACCAGGTTTGCCGTCACCATTTGCACCCCTTAAAGCTGAACTCCGGGATAGTCTTCGTGTGGTGCAGCCGGAGCAAAATACAATTCATCACATAATGGGAGTTGTACATGGGAACGGTCAGGATTGCGGGGTCGTTTGGTCAGGCCAGTGGGAGGGGTAGAACCGGGGTTTCCTGGCCTGTCAATCATGGCGACACATCACGGCAGGCTAGACTAGGATGCCTGTACACCATTGTGCTTCGGGGTGTCATCTTTATCCGTGTTCCTCTAGCATGACATCTATAGATCAAGCAAAAGGAATACAAAGATGACACAATGGTGTGCGGGCAAAATCTCTTCTGGATTGTATGCTCCGGTAACATCCATCAGTTCTTCCGGCACCCAATGGATTCTGGGATACATCGGACAGATTAGAGGATATTACTAAGGCTAGAGGAGGAGTCTCCTGGCCTGTCAATACGTCATGGCGGGCAGGACAGTCCAGAG